AATCTTCCTATCCTCGGATTCTAAAACTTCAAAAGCAGCAGATTCTTGTGGTGTTTCTAATTCCTCAAAATCTTCCTCTTCATCACTATCAGTCTCAGATAAACCTAAGATTTCCCCCAAACTTTTCTCTTGACACCAGGTTTCTATCAGACTCAAAGCAGAACACTCTTCTCTTTCTTCCGGGTACCTAAGGGAATTAAAAACATTAAAAGTCACTTGTTGGTCTTGGACTCTCATGGTTAATTCTCCCTTTTGTACATCTATCAATGTTCTACCAGTAGCTAGGAAAGGTCTCCCTAAAATGATGGGAATGTCTTTGTCGGCTTCAAAGTCTAGGATGATAAAATCAGCTGGGAAAATAAACTTATCAACCTGAACTAGGACATCCTCAATCTTTCCTCTGGGATAGGCTATGGACTTATCAGCTAACTGAAGAGTTACAGTCGTAGGTCTAGCTTCACCTATGCCTAGGGTATTGAAGACAGATAAAGGCATTAGGTTTATGCTAGCACCTAAGTCACATAGAGCTTTTCCTATCTCTTTTCCTCCAATTGAACAAGGGATTGTAAAACTTYCRGGATCTTTCATCTTAGGAGGAATTTTACTGGACAACAAAGCACTGCAACCTTCAGTCAGAGCTACAGTCTCGTATTCAGTCAACTATTTCTTTTTGCTCAAAATGTCTTTTAAAAACTTTGCATAACTTGGCATCTGCTCAATAGCTTCAACCAAGGGTATGTTTATGTGCAACTGTTTAAAAACATCAATAAACTTTTTAAATTGTAATTCTTCCTTCTGATTCCTTAATCTTTGAGGATAAGGAATATAAGGAGTGACTGGAATAGGAGTCGTAGTCTTTTGAAGAGTTGGTGCTGGAATCGGTTTCAAAACTGGTCTCACAATTGGTTCTGTTTCAGTCCTAACAGGGATTAAAGGACTAGTCTGGTCTTTTATTGCGGGACTGTCACCAGATTGTGACACATCCACAACAATACTTTCTTTGGGAGTCTGGGTTGTCTTGGGTTCATCAGGAAATAACAATGGAAAATCTGATCTTTCTGGAATGGCCGTACTATCTATGGGCCTGACTATGGGTTGCGGCTCACAAGTACTCACAGGAATGGTAGTCACAAAATCTGGTACAGAGGTAACAAAATCTTGTTCTACACTTTTCTTTTCAATCTCTGCTTTGTTTGGTTCTTTTTGTTCTTTTTGGGTATTTTCTAAAT